CCCGCGGGCTCCGGCCTCCCGYCGGCCTCCGGGGACGGGCTTCCAAAGGGAGCCTCGGCTGGGCGGCCTCCCATGGCGCGGAGACGGCGGCCGAGATCCCCTCTGCCCCACGGGTGCCTCCGCGTCGCCTCCCATCTGCTCCCTGTCTCGGAGGTCCCGGCGTTTTGTCATGGAAGGACRCGTGGTCCCTGCTGGGATGTTGCTGCTGCCCCTGTTGTCATGGCGATGGGAGACAGCTCCATCCCCAGCCTCATTCATCCGGAGGCCACGAGGAGGCCACCGGGGCCTCTTAAGGAGGCCAAACAAGCAGCAGCTGCTCTCCTTTCTGCCACCCGTTTCTGAGCCGTCCTCTCCCTCCGGCCCCAGAAGTCCCAGCCTCGCTCCTTGGTGGCATCTCCCACGGCCGAGGGTTTATCCCTAAAGGAGCAGGAACAGCTGGGGACAGGGACCAGACACCCTCGCTCCCGCAGGTGATCGGCAAGGGCAGCGAGAAGGCCGAGGACAGCTCCATCGACGAGAAGTACCTCATCGCGACGTCGGAGCAGCCCATCGCGGCGCTGCACCGCGACGAGTGGCTCCGGCCCGAGGACCTGCCCATCAAGTACGCGGGGCTCTCCACCTGCTTCCGCCAGGAGGTCGGCTCGCACGGCCGCGACACGCGCGGCATCTTCCGCGTGCACCAGTTCGAGAAGGTGCGCGGGGCGGGCTGGGGCGGGCGCGCCGGGGAGCCGCGGGGCCGGGCGCTCACGGCCGCGGGCTCCTCGGCAGATCGAGCAGTTCGTCTACGCCTCGCCGCACGACAACAAGTCGTGGGAGCTCTTTGACGAGATGATCGCCACGGCCGAGGAGTTCTACCAGTCGCTGGGCATCCCCTACCACATCGTCAACATCGTCTCGGGTAGGGGCCGGCGGGAAAGGCTCGGGCTGGGCAGACCCGGCCACCCCAACGAGCCTCGCGTGGCCCCATGGCTGTGACCCACTTCCCGCCTCGGCTGCCTTTGTCCYGGAGCAGCCCGGGCTCCTGTTCCCACGGTGTCCGGCCCCAGKGGGGACAAGGGGGAGGAGGCACCGCGGCCTCCAGTTTGGAGGAGGGAAGGAAACAGCTTGAAGGGTTGAGCAGCTCCTCCGAGCTGCGCCTGGGAGCTCGCCCGGGAAAACTGCTCTATTTAAAAGCCCTTCCGAGCGTCCCCTCTGTAGAGGGGGAATGAGATTTCCCGGGAGGCCCCAAGGCACTGCCCTGCAGTCACCCGAAGGCCTCGTGGGCGCCCTGCTCACCACTGCCCRCTGCTCGCAGGCGCCCTGAACCACGCGGCCAGCAAGAAGCTCGACCTCGAGGCCTGGTTCCCCGGCTCGGGTGCCTTCCGCGAGCTCGTGTCCTGCTCCAACTGCACGGACTACCAGGCCCGCCGGCTGCGCATCCGCTACGGGCAGACCAAGAAGATGATGGACAAGGTGAGGGACGAGCCCCCGCGTTTTCCTCTCTCACGGCTGTCGATTTTCCTGGGGGGGTTTCTCGGTTGCGGGCCAGACCTTTGCGCAAGGACGTGTGGCCTGTGGCGCTGCCTCACCGCTCCCCGCCGCAGGTGGAGTTCGTGCACATGCTCAACGCCACCATGTGCGCCACGACGCGGACCATCTGCGCCATCCTGGAGAACTACCAGACGGAGGAGGGGGTCCTCATCCCGGAGAAGCTCCGAGACTTCATGCCCCCAGGTAGCACCGCCCTCCCTCCCTTCCCTGTCCCTCCGGCAGCAGCCAGGATCCATGAGGAATTCCCCAGGGCTTGTTCGCTTCCACTGCAGCCGGGAAAGGAGCTGGGGCATGGGGATGCGAGGGGGGCCTGGCAGAGCCCCGGCACTCGGCCGTGCTCCATCCTGCCTCTCCCGCAGATCTCCGCGAGCTGATCCSCTTTGTGAAGCCGGCCCCCATCGAGCAGGAGCTCTCCAAGAAGCAGAAGAAGCAGCAGGAGGGCGGCAAGAAGAAGGCGGCRGGAGGACAGCGGGTGCTGGAGGAGCAGATGAAGAACATGGACGTGAGCAGCACCTAGACCCTGGCCCAGCCGCCACCGGTGCCGCTAGAGACCCTTGGGCTTCCTCCATCAGCTGCTCTTCGTCGCCGGGCTGCGCCCGTCACCTCGGCTGCGGGGTGCTGCCGCGTGCGGAGCCGACGCGGGGCTGCTCCGTTCCATCCCACTGCCCTGGGACGCGGCGCAGGGATTGATGGGCTCCGGCATCGCTGTCCGTCCCTGCTGTGGGCTGGAGGGGACGTGCGCCCGGGCTCCCCGTCCCCGCGGCTTCCCTGCGCCCGCGGCTCTGTGCGCGGCGCAAACCTGTGTCCTGGTCCATGCAATAAAGCAAAGAAAGCGCCGGAGCTGCTGGGCTGCACGGGCGGCCGGGCTGGGCACCGCGCGGCCATCAGCGCTGTTTGGGGGAGCAACGGGGGCCCCCGGGGGTGCCGGCAGCCCGTGCAGGGAGGAGCGGAGGGTTGGATCCCGTGCGTGTTGGGGGGATTTTAGCAGCCCCCCCTTCCTTTCCGTGCAGTGGCTGTGGTGCAGCTGGGCCGGGGGCCCGGCCACCCYGCACAATGGCCGGGACAAAGGCCGCGCGGCGCCGCTTGTCATGCAAAGAGGGACCGGGGGGGCCCCTCYGCGCGCGGGGGGGGGCCCAGCTGCCACTGCCAGCTCCGTGTCCCGTGGGGGGGCTGCAGCAGCCTCGGTTCCCCCCCAATAACGGGGGGAGCTTCACGCAGCACCGTGCAAGGTGGTGATTTACCTCCCCCCCCACGCTGCTGCAGCACGTGGGAAAGCCGCGCGTGGGCCCCCCCCACACCCCGCGTGTCCCTCCCCCGCGGCGGCGGCAGCGCCCGCCGAGCCGGTTCGGCCGCCCCGCCTGGCACTGCCAGCCCGGCCCGCAGAGCGGGCACCGGCGCCGCGGGCGAGGGACGGGGCCGGGAACCGCCTGAGTCACCCGCGGCTCCCGGGCCCCTTTGCCGGTGATGGGGGGGCTCCCTGCACGG